TTGCCAAAATTATAGGATACAAGATCAATATACAGAAATCAATTGTATTTCTATACACTAGCAAAGTTACAATTCAAACATGAAGTCAGGAAAATGATCTATTAACAATAGCATCAAAAAAAATAAAACACTTAAGAAAAGAATTTAACAAATTAAATATAAGACTTGTACATTGAAACCTACAAACATCCTTGAAAGAAATTAAAGAAAACCTAAATATATGAAAAGACATCCTGTATTCATGAATTGGAAGACTTAATATTGTTTAAATGGTATAGTAGATAGAATAGTGGCCCCCAAAAGATGTCCATATTCTAACATTTAGAACCTGTGACTATATTCTTTACATGTCAAAAGAGATTTTACAGATGTGATAAAGTTATGGTGGTTATCCTAGATTATCTGTGTAATGTATAATGTAATTATACATTCTAATGTAATCACAAGGGTCCTTATAAGAGAAAGGCAAGAGAGTCAAAGTAGGAGGAGGTATGCTGAGGAAAGGAGAGGTTAGAGTAACGTATCTGAAGATGGGGAAGGAGCCATGCCTCAAGGAATGAAGGCTACCTCTAGAAGCTGGAAAAGGCAAAGAAGTGGATCCTTCCTTGGAGTTTTCAGAAGGAATACAGTCCTGCTGATATCTTAATGTTAGCCACATAAGACTCATTTTAGAATTGACATCCATAACTGAAAATAATAAATGTATATTGTTAGAGTTTACCATAATATTGTAAACCATAATATTGTGATAATTTGTTATAGCAGCAATATAAACTAAAAGATGTGACAATATTCCTCTAACTGATCTACAGATTCAACACAATTCCTATGAAAGTTCCAGCTGACTTTCTTCCAAAAATTGAAAAACTCATCCTAAAATTCACATGGAAATGCAGGGGATCCCAAATAGGAAAAACAATCATGACAAAAAGAACAAAGACTCTGAACTCCCAATGCAGGGGGCCTGGGTTTGATTCCTTGTCAGGGAACTAGATCCCACATGCCTCAACTAAGAGTTCACATGCCAGAACTAAAACATCCCAGATGTCACAACTAAGAACCAGGGCAGTCAAATAAATAAATATCAAAAAAAAACAAAACCCTCTGGCACTGACATAAGAAAAGACATATAGATCAATGAAACGGAATTGAAAGTTCAGAAATAAACCCTTACATTTATGGTCAGTTGATTTTTGACAAGGATATACCAAGACAATTCAATGAAACAAGAATATTCTTTTCAACAAATAGTCCTGAGACACTTAGTCTTCCACATGAAAAAGAATGAACTTGTACACCTACCTCAGTTCAGCTCGGTTCAGCCGCTCAGTCATGTCCGACTCTTTATGACCCCTTGGACTGCAGCACGACAAGCCTCCCTGTCCATTGCCAACTCGCAGAGCTTACTTAAACTTATGTCCATTGAGTCAATGATGCCATCCAACCATCTCATCCTCTGTCTTCCCCTTCTCCTCCCGCCTTCAATCTTACCCAGCATCAGGGTCTTTTCAAATGAGTCAGTTCTTCACATCAGGTGGCTAAAGTATTGGAATTTCAGCTTCAGCACTACCTCAGAACATACAAAAAAGTAAACTCTAAATAGAACAAAGATCTAAATAAAAGAGTCAAATGTATAAAATTCTTAGAAGAAAACACAGGATTAGGTAATAGTTTCTTAGATATGACACCCAAAGTGCAAGTAACAACAACAAAAAAAAAATAGTCCAAATAAGTTGGACTTCATCAAAATTAAAACACTTGTATTTTTAAAGACATTATCAAGAAAGTTAAAATACAACACAAAAAAATTGGAAAAAAATGTTTGCAAATCATATATCCATAATAGTCTAGTATCTACAACTATATTAAGAATCCTTCCAACCCAATGATAAAAAGAAAAATATCCCAATTTTAAAATGGCATTTTTTAATTAAATAGATGTTTCTCCAAAAAATATATATAAATGGCCAATAAGCATATGAAAAGATGTTTAAAATCATTAGCCATCAAGGAAATGCAAGTCAGACTACAATGAGATATCGTATTATATCCACTAGGATGGTTACAATAAAAAATTTTACTGGAAAAATAACAAGAGTTGATGATGATGTCAGGGAAATGAGAAACTTCTACATTGCTAGTGGGAATGTAAAATAGTTCCTGCTATCAAGTTGTAGTGGAAAACAGCTTTTAAAAAAAAAGCTAAACATAGAGTTACCTCATACCAACCACTTCCATTCCTAGATATATACCCAAGAGAATTTAACACATATATCCACACAAAAACTTGCACACAAATATTCATAGCAGTGCTATTCATGATAGCTAAAATGTGGAAATAATCAAAGTGTACATCAAGTATAAACAAATAAACTTGGTATATCCATACAATAGATATGATTATCCAGCCATAAAAAGATTTTCAATGAGTGGTGCTGGGAAAACTGGACAGCTACATGTAAAAGAATGAAATTAGAACATTCTCTAACACTGTACACACACACACACACACAAAAGCTATAACAAATCAAACACCTAAATGTAAAGCTGGACACGATAAAACTCAGAGAAAAAAAAAACTCAGAGAAAAACATAGGCAGAACATCCTTTAACATAAATTGCAGCAATCTATTTTTGATCCACCTCTTAGAGTAATGAAAACAAAAACAAAAATAAACAAACAGGGCCTAATTAAAAGCTTCTGCACAGCAAAGGAAACCCTAAACAAGACAAAAAGACAACCCAGTGAATGGGAGAAAGTATTTGCAAATGAAGTGACCGAAAAGGGATTAATTCCCAAAATAGACAAACAGCTCATGCAGCTCTATGTCAAAAAAAAAAAAAAAAAATGGGCAGAAAATCTAAATAGACATTTCTCCAAAGAAGGCATGGAGATGGCCAGAAAGCACATGAAAAGATGCTCAACATCACTATCAGAGAAATGCAAATCAGAATTACATACAGATATCACCACACACCAATCAGGATGGTTATCATCAAAGTTTACAAACAATAGGGACTTCCCTGCTGGTTCAGTGGTTGAGAATCCACCCTGCAATGCAACTAGGGATCAACACGCATCAAACACCCTGGATATGTGTTTGATCCCTGGTTGGGCAGAAGAACAACTACTCCCCCATGTCACAATTACTAAATCCATTCACCACAGCTAGAAAGTCTGCACTGCAGCAAAAGACCCCAATTGCTGCAACTAAGACTCCAAGCTGTCAAATGAATATTTTTTTTTAAGTTTACAAACAATAAATGCTGAAGACAGTTTGGAGAACTACACTCCTACACTGTTGGTGGGAATGTAAATTGATACAGTCATCATGGAGAACAGTATGCAAGTTCCTTAAAAAACTAAAAATAGAACTACCAGTGCTCACTTGGGCAACACATATACTAAAATTGGAACAATACAGAGAAGATTAGCATGACCCCTGCGCAAGGATGACATGCAAATTCATGAAGTGTTCCATGTTTTTCCTTTTACATTTCTGTCTATACATTCTATTAATTTTTGAGAGTTTGATGTTGAAATGCCAACTAAAAATCTTAATTTACCTACTTTAACAAATAATTGTAATATATAGTGGAACTATATGTAACTTTGTTCTGTATTTTTGGAGTCTCTTATAAATGTGTTATCATACTTTCATAGTTTAAAAAATAAAGAAGAAACAATAGAACTACCATATGATCCAGCAATCTCGCTCCTCAGCATATATCCAGAGAAAATCATAACCTGAAAGGATATATGCACCCTGATGTTCATTTTAGCACTGTTTACAATAGCCAAGACATGGAAGCAACCTAAGTGTCCATCAACAGAGGGATGGAAAAAGAAGATATGGTATGTGTGTGTGTGCACAAACACGTGTGCACACACACACACACACACTCACACACACATATAATGGAATATTATTCAGCCATGAAAATGAACAAAATAATGCCATTTGCAGTAACATGGAGGGACCTAGAGATTATCATACTACGTCAGACAGAGAAAGACAAATATTATATGACATCACTCTTACATGGAATCTCATTTTTTAAAAAGATACAAATGAAACTTATTTACAAAACAGAAACAGACTTACACATATCAAAAAGAAATTTCTGGTTATAAAGAGGGAAAGAGTGGAGAGATAAATCAGGAGCTTGGGATGGACACACACATACTACTATACATAAGATAAATAATCAACAAGGACCTGCTGTATAACACAGGAAGCTCTACTCAATATTCTGTGATAATCCATATGAGAAAAGAACCTAAAAAAGAATGAATGTATGTATATGTGTAACTGAATCACTTTGCTGTACACCTGAATCTAGTACAACATTATAAATCAACTATACTCCAATAAAATTAAACATTTAAAAAAGATTTACATATTCATTCATGCTACCACACAGCATTATGCTAAGTGAGAGAAGCCAAAGAGACCACATACAATATAATTCCATTTATACATGAAATATCCAAAATAGGCAATTTTATAGCAGCAAAAAGTACATTAGTGTTTCCCCAGGGCAGGGATAAATAGAGAATGGGGAGTGACTGCTATTGTTTGAGATTTCTTTGGGTGATGATGAAAATGTTCTGGACGTAGAGAATAGTGATGGTTGCCCAACTTTGTGAATATACTAAAATTGGTTGAATTGTGCACATTAAAGGATGAATTTTACAGCATGTGAATGATCTGAAAATAAATGAATGTGGAAATAAATGGCATGTATGTGCCTAGGTGTGGAATTGCTGGGTCATATTGCATCTCTAGGTTTACCTTTTTGAGGAACTGCCAAATGGTTTTTCAAAGTGGCTGCTCCATTTTACAGTTCTACCAGCAGTGTGTCAGAGTTCCAATTTCTGTACCTCCAAAGGTCCATTTGAGATCCCAGCAGAGAAATCTGCAACAAAGTCTATGGAAACAAACATAAAATGCTTAGGTTTTTGCTGTCTTAGGAACATGTGTATGTCTTGTCTGCAGGTTTCAGAGAAAATCCACTGATGGAAGCTTTGGTTCTAATGATGGTAAGAAAAATCCCTGGTTTCAATTCAAACTGATGTCAAGTAAAAGATAACTTTTACTGGTACTTCTGTCTCTTTGACTTCTGTGATTTCCAAATCCTCTGTTGATTCCCATCCCTCCAGAGTGGTTTAATCTGTAGTCTTTCTACAGAAAGCAGAGCTAGTAAGAACTAATCATATAACACAGTATAAGTTTTGGGTGTACAGCATGATTCTATACTTGTACAGACTGCAAAATGATCACCACTAGAAATCTAATTAACATCCATCACCACCAGTGAAGTTGCTTAGTCGTGTCTGACTCTTTGCGATCCCATGGACTGTAGCCTACCAGGCTCCTCCATCCATGCAATTTTCCAGGCAAGAGTACTGGAGTGGGTTGCCATTTCTTTCTCCAGGGGATCTTCCCAACCCAAGGATTGAACCCTGGTCTCCTGCATTGCAGGCAGACGCTATACCATCGGAGCTACCGGGGAAGCCCAAGGTGATCCATCACTACACATAATTTTTTCTTGTGGTGAGAATTTTTAAGATCAATTCTTTTAGCAACTTTCAAGTATGCAGTACATTATTATTAACTCTAGTCGTCACCATGTTGTACAGGACATCCTCAGGACTTATATTTTAAAACTGGAAGTTGGTACCTTTTATGTATCCTATTTTCTAAAAAGTCTAAATCAGCATGAGTTACTTAGTGTTGACAAGATCAAGAAGGCTCTGAAAATTAGCTCAGAGCTAGAGGTACCCTTCAGATGGCAAGCAGAAATGGATGAGTGATCCAAAAAATAATAAATAAAGATGCATCAGTTGGATTCACGTGGCTGCAGGTAACAACAAAGTTTATCTCAAACATACTTAAACAATAAAGAGTGTCTCCTCTCCCTGAAAGTTGAGCAAAAAGGTGAACTTCAGGATTCACTGAATCCAGTGGCTCAGGTCCTTTTGCTTGCCATTCCCCTGGTTCTGCTTTTCCCCTAGTGCTGGTGGTGAGGTAGGTCCTCACTGACAATGTCCAGAGGGAAGGACTTTTTCAGAAGCACCTAGAAGCTTCTTTCATGTTTCATTGTCCTAGAATGGATCATATACATATTTCTAAACCAGTCACTCCTAAGGAATCTATTTATCTAAGATCAGTCAAGCCTGCTTATAGAATTAGGGTTAGGTCATCCTTCTCTAGGATCAGGGTTTCTCAAACTCAACATTATTGACACTACAGTCAGATGATTCTTTATTGTTGGGAGCTGCCCTGTACATTGTAGGATGTTTAACCACATTCTTCACCTCAATCTATTAGAATTCAGTAATACACTCCCTCCTTGTGACAATAGAAAATATTCCCAGAGGTTGTCAAATGTCCTTCTGGGAGCAAAATGTTCCCCCTACTCCTACCCCCAACTGAGAATCACTGATTTAAAAACGTGGGCTGCCAGGCACAGGTGAGAAGACAGGAACAAAATCCTAGCTTAGTTAGAAAATAGGAATGTTCATGCCAAAGGGCTTTGAAATTAGGAGGAAGTAAGGAAACTTTATCAGAGAAGGCAATGGCACCCCTCTCCAGTACTCTTGCCTGGAAAATCCCATGGATGGAGGAGCCTGGTAGGCTGCAGTCCATGGGGTCACGTTGGACATGACTGAGCAACTTCACTTTCACTTTTCACTTTCATGCATTGGAGAAGGAAATGGCAACCCACTCAAGTGTTCTTGCCTGGAGAATCCCAGGGATGGGGTCGCACAGAGTCGGACACGACTGAAGTGACTTAGCAGTAGCAAGGAACCTTTGTGGGCTTCCCAGGTGGCGCTAGAGGTAAAGAACCTGCCTGCTGATGCAAGAGACAAGGGTTCCATCCCTGGATCAGGAAGATCCCCTGGAGGAGGCATGGCAATCCACTCCAGTATTCTTGCCTGGAGAATTCCACGGACAGTGGAGTCTGGTGGGCTACAGTCCATAGGGTCACAAAGAGTCAGACACAACTGAAGTGACTGAGCACACATGCACGAAAGGGACCTTTGTCATGCGGAGAGGTTGTGGGGAAAGACAGCACATGACCACTGGTGAGACAAGACTCAGGTGCTGCAAAAAAGAGCAGAAAAGACAACCTCCATCCTAGGAAAGAACCAGTTAGTGACTCTTAATCGTAGGAAGCAGATCACTGAGAAACCAGTCTGGAGCAAGAGACAAAAGTAAGTGAGGGATTTTACCTGTAGTCTAATGTGAGAGATTCACGGGAGGAAATTCTGGAGAAGAGCAAGGATACAGAAGGGCCAGGATCAGTGTGCCCATAGGCGCTACAGGAAGTTTAACTGAGCTCAGAGATACAGGAAGTGCCGTGGGGGCTAGAGCCTAGAAAAAAATGCTAGGAACAGAGTCTGAAAGAGGGGATCCCACTAGACTTGGCCTGCTGGCTGCCTCAATCAATGTGGAGGTAGACATCAGAGGAACTGGTCCTGATGCTTTCACCTTAGGTGTGCCTGAGGTAGAGGATATGGAGCAAGGTCCCTACAATTCGCCAAATGGTTGGCAGCTCTTAATTATCACACAGTCGGACACAACTGAAGCAACTTAGCAGCAGCAGCAGAATGGCTGCATTTGGAAAATCTGTTAGCTCCCCTGCTTTTGTTTTTCATTGATTTGTCCTGCAGTTTGTAAGTCTTATTTGAAAAATGTTGACACTGGCTTCAACTGAACTAAAAAAGCAAAAGAATTTCTTTCATACTTCATGGGAAGAAGAAGGAGATAAGACCCTGGAGCCCAGATGAAGTGGAAATAGTGTTTGTAAAGAGCAGCTTCGGGCGAGAAGGGGCGTGATTACTGTGATATGACTGGATGGATCCCGTATTCTCCATTGTCACTTAAGACAGGGGCCTCTCTGGTAATCTGAGGGGCACCAGGCAAGCCTCTGTGTTCTAGAAACATTTCCTTAAAGGACAAAGGAGCCTGGCAGGCTACAGTCCATGGGTCACAGAGAGTCAAACACGACTGAGCAACTATCATTCTCTCACTCACGGACTCTGTCAGTGGAGAAACCTTACACTTCACATTACCGTTAAAGAGCCTGTACAGAAATTCAGTTACCACCTCAAAAGAGAGACAGACGAAGCATAACTCACAGGCCTCTGGGACACATGAGCTGTCATCATGATGCTTCGTGCAGCCTAAAAAGGGGGTACTTTCTCAAGTAGGGGAGCTGGACAAACCTGACTAGTCTGTAGACTGAGGAACCAAATGACCAATCAGATCCTTCCCTGGATGGAGCTATTACTGAACCAGCCTCCCAGCAGACAGCAGGGTCCAGAAGGGAGAAGACAAGCAGTGTGCTGAGTGCGGACGATTCGGGGAACACAAGCCATCCTCAGAATCTGTGGTAACGGGTCTCAGGTTCTAGTCTTGACTCTCCGATCGATTCCAAATTTCCTTGATTTTGCTTGCCTGTTTTTTTCTTCTAGAGGAATTTTACTTTTACATCCTTGAAAAGATGAATGGCCTTCCTTATTTTCTCCTCAACTTTTGACAGATTAATACAACATGACACCAGTTGGAATAGGTAGCCAACTGGCATAAAAATGAAACCTTACAGCAGCTCATTCACATCATTTCCAACTCCTTCTTAGCTTCCAACCTTCTAAGGCTAGAGATAGAAGCAGGCAGGACAGTTATAAATGTGAAGTCCCTGAAAGAGTCAAGCCTGCTCAAAAAGAAATGAAGTTTTTCTCCTCACATGGAGCAATTAATATAAAAGGCAAGCAAGCATATCCTATTCTAAGTTAGCAAAGCAGACAGATGGCAAAGGGCTCATGTGTAAAGAAAAACATACCAGAACAAGTTTTCTCATTAAGATGAGCTCATTCACAACTTTATATGTTTGCTTATTCCAAGCCAGAACATCTCAGTATGTCCTATAAACTGGTATATTGTGTTTAATTCTGCTTTCTATATACCATATATGGCTTGCCTTCTGGGAGCATCAATCACATTTGAAATTTGGGAGGCAGTGCTTTGGTTCTTGCATTTCTAGACATTAGAAAAGTTAACAGAATATTGTTATCCCATGTTGGCCAATCTCCTATTTAATTGTGCATATAAGAGTGCACAGATATGGAACAATTGTACTTCATGTGAAAATTCTGATGCTCTTGTCCATCACAGAACTGTTGGTGTTGTGGTTGCTTTGGAGTGCAAGGGACTGGGGACTATACTGAAACCAGGTCCTGCTCAACTGTGAGCCAGAGTAGAGTGCAGAAATCATCCAAGTCTGAACAAACTTACACAGCTGGCTTTTCCTTTTTAGTGAAGTTGCTGCCTAACAAAACAGTGATTGTTTTTGTTTGCACTCTTGCTTTGATTTTAGTTTTCGCATTTTTTTTTTTTTTGCCTCTTTTGATCACATACACAAAAACGCTTTGCCTCCCACAGACCACTTCAACCCCCCGCCACATTCCCGCCCGTGGAACTCAAGCATTATCCTACACATTCATCTGGTTCCCATACCAGAGGGCTTCCTAGGAACAGAAAAGACCCGAAATTCTGCAGTTTATGATTTTAGTATCATTTTCACTATTTTCACATGTAATATTTTTTTTAATTACACTGTAAACAAGGACCTAAGTTAATGATTAAAAGAAGGGAATTTAGGCTTGAAAAGAGAAAAATGTGAAAGATACTAAGGGAAATGTGAAAGTTACATCACCTAAGGAAGAGGCCAGAATGGTGGTTTCTGTGAGTCGCCTGCCCCTCTCCCTCCACACACACACACAATGACTTTGATAAAAAGAATACACTATAAGGAATTACAGGTGAGCAGCAGCAGCCCATCTGAAAAACAAATATTGTGCTTAGGTACCTTTTTTGAATATATGAGTGGAAATGCAAATGTGCCTCAATTCCTTGTCTCTTTTGAAAAATGAGCACTATAAAAGCAACACACTCACTGCCAGTTATTCATATGTTAAAGGAAAATCCCTTCCTTTTTTTTCAATTAAGAAGATAAATTTTAACTGAGATCAGTGCAATGAACCATTATCTATCCACTATCTGAGTGATTTGGGACAAATGACTTGATCTGTGAGTGCCTCCTTTTTGTCATCTTTAAAATGGTGATAGTAATAGTACCCATGTCACAAGGTTATTGAAAAATTAAAAAGAATGAATTCTTGGAAAGAACTTAAAAGAGTGTCTGACACACACTACTGTCACTACTGCTGCCTAATGTTTATCAAAAACTGTGTGTCAGACACTCTACTTTAGGCAGCAGTAGTGACAGTAGTTGTAGCATTAGCAACCGCAGCAATAGTATAGAAGCCTTAGTAGCAGTACTAGCAGTGGTGGTAATAGTGGTAATAGTACTTGTTAACCTCAGTAGTGGCAGCAGCAAAGTGCTCTGCCCAAATACAGCCAAATCTGTCCTTGGCCAAAGAGAGTTGGTCAAACTGTACATGGCATCTTCCCATAATACTCTTACTGTGCTCAGAAGATTTAATCTCTCACTCTTGAGTCTGAAAGTAACCTGTTTCTTTGCCTTGAAGTTGGATGAAAAGCACAGATGGTGTTGATACCATGTTACATATTTATGGGTGAGCCCAAGAAAAGCCAAGGAACATCTACTATCTCTAAATAGTAAGAACTATATCAAGGAGTCTCCAAGCCTAGGAACAATGCCAAGGTCCATTGTGAGAGTCCTGGGAATTGCCTTGCCTGCCAGGAATGTTGCATTAGCCAGAGGCCTTGCTGTCCAACTGAGCTGGCTCTTGGCTAGGCTACCAAAAGGAGGGAGGAAATTGAGTCTCCAAGGCTATTGATTTGTTCACTGGCTAAACATGTTTTGAACTTAGGAATTAATTATCTTTCTCCATGGAGGAAAGGAATAGGCCTACAAAGAGTAAAAACATGATGAAGTCTACAGACTGGCTCCCCAAACTATGAATGTTTTTACTGTCCACCAGTGGGAATGAAGTTTGAAAGCTGGATGAAAAGAGCTGATTGTGACAAACAATTAATTGTCTGAGGCTTTTGGTTCTTTTACATGTGTTGCATACTGTAGCATTAATGTAAAGAATAACAGATGATATTTTCAAAGAAGAAATGGAAATATATTTGCAATGAGGATATAGAATATCTTACATGTCTTCACTGAAAATAGATTTCTCTGCAAAAGTATAAGACACTGACTAGTTAACTCACAGACTTCTTCACCTGTAGTGTGATACAAGCAATCTCATCTCTCAGGAAGAAGACACATGATGGAAATTCCCACCAGCCTGACAATATCCCAGATCCTGACAAAGCTTAGGAGGCAGCAGAGAAATGTTCTCTGGAACATGCCCCCGGAAATATTGTGGCACTAAGTCAGTCAGAGAAACTGCCTAGATGCCTGCATCCTTGTTTCTGTTCTCTTTGTTCAGCTCCTCCTAATTCTCATAAGTGGATAAACTCAATGGGATAGCATCTTTTCAAATAACCAGTGAGAAGCTTAGGAGGCAGTTTTCTCTGGGGCTTTCCAAACCTCACTGGAGTAGTTTGAGGAGCACCATCTTAGAAATATTTTTCTCTCACTGCCACCAGCCATTCGGCAACAGACACTCCTATTATATCTCTGAAAAAAAGTGAAAATGTTCATCACTCAGTCGTGTCCAACTCTTTGCAACCCCATGGACTGCAGCCTGCCAGGGCCTTCTGTCCATGGGATTTCCCAGGCAAGCATACTGGAATGGGTTGCCATTCCCTTCTCCAGGGGAATCTTCCTGACTCGGGGATCGAACCCAAGTCTTCTGCATTGCAGGTGGATCCTTTACTGTCTGAGCCACCAGAGAAGTCCATTCCATCTCTGCATTATGACCCAAATAACCCATATTCCTATACATAGTTCACTATTGTTTGTTCCAAGGAGTGCAGTAATTTCTTTCCTGTCGGGGCTAATCCTGCCTACAGTTAGGGTACTGCTAATGGTTGTGACAAATAAACCTCTGAATTACAGTGCCTTAATCATAGAAATTTGTTTCTGGTGTTTGTGTTCAGTGGTGAACTTTCTCACAGTGATTCCAGGACCCACACTCCTTGTGATTCTGCAATACTGTTAGGCAGGAATCAGCAACATTTTTTTTTCTGGAAAGTGCCAAATAGTAAATATTTCAGGCTCTGCAGGCCATGGAGTCTCTGTCAACTGCTCCTCTTTGCCTTGGTAGCTAAAAGTAGCCATAGCCAGACTCAAATGAGTGGTTGTGTTCTGGTAGAGCCTTATATATACTTAAAATCTAAAATTTCACCTGTCATAAAATAGTATTGCTTTTCTGATTTTCCTCCAACCATTTAAAAAATTTAAAACCATTTCTAGTTTAAGGGTCATGCAGGAACGGGTGGTGAACTACTTTTGGCCTCCATACCATAAAATTGACCTGAAGGCTCCTTGTATTAGAATGAAAAGAAAATCAAACTATTTAAAGTTGTGTCCTTTCATTCTAGCAACTAGACACAAAGTGTTTGCCTCTTTGTTTTTCTTTTTAACAGGCTCTGGAAATATGTCGGTGTCAAATCCCATTGCTGCCAGTACCCCTGAAGGGAGCAATTACGGGGCAATAGGTATTTTTACAATGAGTCCATTCATGGAAGTGTCTCCTGATTCTCCCAAGAATAGGATACAAGTGGCCCTCCAGCCACTAATAACTGTGAAAGTGGGCAAGGCGGTCATTGTATAAGATTAACTGACTGGGTGATCTGGAGGTTTCCTTCCAGCTTTTTTTCTGGTTCTATTGATCTCTTTCTTGAGTCTGCTAGCCACATTCAAGCAGAATTTTCTGTACCATTGCTGTCAACTCCTGTGGGGTTTCTTCATACCCAGCCTGAGTTTATGGTGTGGAAAATGCATCAAGAGTCTGATGTCAGGGACCCCAACATCAATTGACCCATTGTTTCATCCTCAGGTTTCAGTGGAGTAAGGGCGCTCAGAAGATGAGGCTGTGCAGCAGGTGAACATGACTGAAGCCTAGCAACCCTCCATTTGGGCTAACTTCATAACTGAACCTGCTCACTAACACCCAGTCATTCATATGGCAACCCTCAGGCTGGTTAAGTGGCCTTAAGGGGACAGAATTCTGATCCCTGTCCTGTTAGCACTGGAAGGCATTGATGCTTCCACATACTTCTATGATGCTTACAGGTCTATGAATGGTATGCTTTAAGCTGTCAGTATAGAGGGGCTGGGAATCCTGTATTCCTGCCCTGTTATTCTGTAACTTTGAGAAGCATGTGGGCTCAGTGCCAGAGGCTTATTTCTGGCTCTGCAAGAATAGGGTTTTGTTGTTGTTGTTGTTGTTTTTTCTTTAACCATCTGAACAGAAGAAATAAAAGTGGAAGGTAGGCTTGGCTCATGTGCTCATTAAGCTGCACAAATTCCCATCTGCTCTCAGAAACATTCACAGGAGCACAAGGATTCTTCCTGAGAATGTGGTTTCCATTATATAATCACAGATACAGCATGTGGGGGATTTCAGTGTACAAATACCTTATCCATGAGAAATGTATAGCTGCTGGATATGTGGGTGCTTACATATACATGTGGTAGATGCTATACATAAGTTCATGCATGTGTATGTTTATATATTTGTGTTCATGTTTCAAAATATGAAACATGAAATATAAGCATATTATCTTTGCATCTAAAGAGTTAATAGAGCAGATGCCTTTATATTTTGTATTTAGCCCTAGAAACAGGTGATTTAAATATAAAAATAGGAGACAAGGAAAATCAGAAGTCCATTGAGGAAGAATTGAGAGAACATGTGTTGTGGGTAAGGAGTTGGTTTTTACCAACATAACGTGTACAAGAATGAGTCAGCACTGTGCTTTTTGCAAAGAGAGATGGGTTCCACGGGTTCTTCTCAGCCTGGGAAGGCAGAAGAGTCTCCTCTGTTTCAGATGAGTCAAGCTCCAGTCCTGGCAGGCAAATGTCCTCCTCTGATGGTAGACAGCCATGCCAGTCAGACACTGACAGCTCCGTGGAGGAAAGTGACTTTGACACCATGCCAGACATTGAGAGCGATAAGAACATCATCCGCACCAAGGTACCTCTCTCTGCCTGGCCATACCCTCCAGAGGACAGAAAGTTCAGGAGTCAAATACAACTTCAACAATGCCTCAATTGCCTTTTTATATTTATATTTATATTTATATTTATATTTATATTTTTTTTTCTTCAGGGGAAGTCAAATTTCTCAGGGGGCTTTTTAGATAAAGCTTAACTACCTACTAAAAGCAATACTCAGTTAATTAACACTCCTTTCTGGAGGGAAAAAGTGACAGCAGTATAGAGAACAGAGCACTAAAATGCTCACGGATCTGAAGTGGCTGATTATGGACAAAAATGAGGAAGGGTTCCAACCAGGTGGAAGAAAAGATTCCACTGAAGTGTGTACTTGGAAAAACACCCTGGTTCCAGACATAAAATGCTTCAGGAGTAAAAGCTCGTTTCTTTCTGACTCATATGTATCAGACTATGTTGTATCCAGTAAGCAACATGAAGGTGAATGGCATGGTTTCAACTCTGTAATTCAAGAATCACACAGTGGGCATCTCTGAAAACAGGGAAATCAATTCTTGAGATTTAAGAAGCATTCAAGATTCCCAATGGGTTTCTCACATCAGCCAGTTTCCCTAAAGCCAAGGGAAATACTAGGATTTTTAAAGGTATCCTAGGAAAAGCAAAATTACGAGAAAAGTCTTGTTTAATAATTTTAATCCGTATTGAGGGATTAAACTGAAATGTGTAAAGCTATTCTTTGTATTTTATGCAAGAAATCCAAGTACAGTTTTGCATTCTCTTTTTACTTGGCATCCCAGGTGTTCCTTTACCTGTCAGATCTGTCCAGGAAGGACCGAAGAATTGTCAGCAAAAAGTATAAGATTTATTTTTGGTGAGTAGATGACGAGAAGGACTATGGCTCTCTTTAGTAAAATTAAAATTTTCTTTGTAAAAGCCACAGTGACTTATGTGATTCATATAAGTGACCAAATCACAGGTTTTGGTGTTTACTGAGACACACATATAGGTGTTTAAAGGGTTTAAGCCACAATGCATAGGAAAAACAAACAAAACACAATCAAAGGCAACCAGTCCTAAGTGAAATACATACAAAGTATAAATAAGAACAGTAGTGGAATCCCGTGTTTTTAGGGACACACTAAATCCTCTTCCAGGAAGATACCAAAACCATCTTCCAGGAGGCATGTTAAACTGGAACCATTCCCTTTTCTCTCACCAGGACTTACCCTTAGGAGAGCCAGTGATTTCTGGGATGAGACTCCTCGAGCACCTCAGGGTAGCTAGAAATCACCCTGAGGCAAGATGATACCATCAGCCAATGATAAATAGACCTGCGAAAAATAGACCACACAGAGGCAGCCTTCTTCCAGGCAGAAAGCCTGAGGTGCCTGGCCGGGTTCCCTCTTTTCCCTCAGAAACCCCCGACTGACAGTGTGACAACTCCTCTCATTCTTTTCTCTGGAAGGATGACCTTTTACTTGGACACAGATGCTAGAGGGAAATAAGAGTCAGCCAGTGGGGGTCACGTGGAACTCCATAGCATAGTGGGACCAGCGTTTTGGAACTAAGAGGTAGCTAAGAGAGCCACATTCCCTTCATGTGATCCATCACCCATTACCTACTCTCCGATCATTTTTAATCTAATGATATCCTAAAGAGATAGGCCTTTATTGATAGTTTCGTTAAACCAGAAGTATTATTTACCCTGTTATGCAAATGATTGTATGAGAGGAAGTTTGGAGAAATAGGAACCATGTAATCAGTTTCTAATCACTTTTGTGAGTTAAGTAGGCAGTTATGGGTGGAAAGATTGAAAAAATAAAAGAGCAAAAATTCCATTGTTAATTTGGAAATAACCATTTCTGGTTCCTTTTGTCTGCATAGGAACATCATTACCATTGCTGTGTTTTATGCACTGCCTGTGATCCAACTGGTTATCACCTACCAAACAGTAAGTGTTGCCTCAAACCCCCGAATCCCAGCTTTCATACAACAGGGAAAGATCTTTGCTATAATTTACAGAGAAAGGTATAAAGAGCTCTTTCCAATAATTAATTTCTCATTTGGATTCCCACAGGATTTCTCCATTGGGTCGTCTTTGACTGAGCTTTAAATCTAGTTCCCCAATGTTTTATCACAGACCTCTTGTATCACTTTGTCTACCAATCTGAAATTATTACCTTGTACTCATTTAGTCTTGGTATCTATCAGCTATGTCTATTGTTTAACCAGTCTGAACTTTTGATCATCGTGGGATGATGGGTAAAGTTCCAGACCAAAACAAAGAAACCTGATATCTAATTTAGCCGGTGTCCCGGCTGTAAAAATATTTTACAATATTTTTTGTAAAAGTAAAAACAGCTTCACTAATAAAATATTAAAAGAAAAGGAAATATAAAATAAATAATAAACAAACAAAGCACTTTCCTAGTGGCACAGTGGATAGAAATCCACCTTCCAAAGCAGGGAACACGAGTTTGATCCCTGGTGTGGGAAGATCCCACATGCCACAGAATAACTAAGCCTGTGTGCCACAACTTCTGAGCCTGTGCTCTAGAGCCCATGCTCCACAACAAGGGAAGCCACCACAATGAGCAGCCCACGCACCACAAGTAGAGAGTAGCCCCCACTAGCTGCAACTAGAGAAAGCCCACATGCAGCAAAAAAGACCCTTTGCAATGAAGAATAAATAAATAGATTTTGCAAAGGCAATCAAGAATTAAAACAAAAACAATAATTAAAACAGCTTAAGAATCCCCACTGCACCCCACGTTTGTAGAACCCTAGGGTCCAGGTCACATAAGTGATCTTGTCTAGGATCAAAGACACATGAAAAAGCCCATTTAGAATAGCACCAGGTTAAAGGTATTTCTAATACAATGGCTCTCAAATTTTGTGTGTTCAAATCATCTGTGAGATTTTTTAAAATACCAGTGTCCAAGCTGTACCCCACAGTAGTTAGATCAGACTGGAATCAGGATCAATATTGATGAAACTCCTTGTGATTCCAATATACACCCACATTTGAGAGTCAAGAGTTTAATAATATTTCACCAATTCCATACTTAATACGTGATGAGGACAAGGACTTTATAAGGTTTGAGTACCACGATTTATACTCTAAATATTCTCTGAATACTTTGGGGCTCTGTCAGAAGATACAGCTATCCTGTGGTCTAGGAAGGTTCTTAATGATAGTGATAATATGGAAAACTGACGACATATCTCCTTATGTCCACCTGCCCTGTGGTTATCAATTCAGTGCAAAGGATGGGACAGCTGTTTACACTCCCAGGATTCATCTAGAAAATAGGATGTACTGTTTCAGTCCTGATAGGCAGGCCCCAATGTTAGCATCCTTTCAGAATCCTTTTACAATGAGAACAAAGGAAATGTTTTCAGTTGGATTCTGCCTTGCTACATAATGAGGGACACAGAATATTTCAGTTCAAAGCAAGATGGTAGCATTTAAAGGAAATGTGTCTGTACCATGTAAAGGCTGGAGATAATGACTCATCCCCTGTTGAGAAGGAGCACTGGTTACACTGTAAATCTCTGACAGTTGATCACTGCGAGCGCTGGAGTCTGCTTTCTGTGATTTCAGGCTCAGGGGATGGAGGCAGACAGCATCTCCTCTTCTCGCTCTTGCTTTTACAGGTTGTCAACGTCACTGGCAACCAGGATATCTGCTACTATAACTTCCTCTGTGCTCACCCCTTGGGTGTCTTGAGGTAAGACCAGTCCTCTGGTTGCCCATGAGGCAATGAGAGACGCCTTTTTGTGTAATGTGGTGTGGAATGTGTATTTTTAAAAAATACTAGAAACAATTGTGGGAAACTACCTCAGTCAAAAAGTAAGTGTAATTGCTTAGTTGTGTCTGACTCTTTGGGACCCCATGAACTATAGCCTGCCAGGCTCCTCTGTCCATGGAATTTCCCAGGCAAGAATACTAGAGTAGGCTTGCCATTTTTTTATCCAGGGGATCTCCCCTACCCAGGATTGAACCTGGGTCTTCTGCATTGCAGACAGATTTGTTACCATGTGAGCCACCAGGGAAGCCTTAATCAAGGGTAAACAGGAATGAAATCAAGGATTTGAGGCTAGGTATCCCTCTCCCACTCCTGTATGGCAGGGGAGGAGCTCAGGAAACAGCCCTAAGAATAATCTGCTAAGGAGAAGGTGGGATGTGTTTGAAAATATCAGGTCCCTCGCTGTGATGACCCTTGTCTATGGGCATGAGCTGCAAATACATTCAATCCACTAAACAACCTCATGAGATAGATATGATTATTATTACCACTGTTTTTTTTAATTTAGTAGTTTTATTGCTATTTTTAAGGAGATTATTTTTAATTATTATTATCATTAAAAAATTATTTTCTTGGCTGCACTGCACAGCATTGGGATCTTAGTTCCCTGGCCAGGGATCAAACCCATGCCCCCTGCATTGGCAGTGTGGAGCCTTAACCACTGGATCACCAGAGAAGTCTCATTACCTCCATTTTTAGATAAAGATATTAAGGCTAGTTAGAAAGGCAAGGACTCGCAGAAGCTCCCTCAACTGTGAGTGATGTTGGGCCTCATAGCTGGACCTGTTGCTTCCAAGGCTGTGCTCCATCCTCCAGAACATGGTGAAGTGGAAAGAGGGATTTTCCTGGCAATTGGGAGCCTGGCTTCTTCATCCAGAATGAACTAGTCTCAGTTTTCTGAAAGAAATCTGCTGACTGTGACCAGTTGATACTTATCCTGAAATTCACAGTTACAGAGCTGAATATTGACATATAACATGGGTCCATGTATTTGAATTCATTCTTGCAACTAGCTGAATGGCCCAGCTGCCCATCTGCAGAATAGCTCTCTTTCCTAGGATTCATTGCCTGCCAGTGCCATCGGGACAAGAGAGGATCAACGGGTGTTAGGGAGGCTGAACAGGCATTCCTGGGAGGAAATGGACACATTATCACAGGCTAAGCAAAGCATCCTAACACAGAGTTAGGACAAAGATGCTCTCTGATGATTTTCAGTCCCGAAGTCTCATGGAAAGTTTTATTGGTAGAAAACAGTGCTGATTTCACTCGCTCCTCCATGCCTTCGTTCAGTCTCTGAGGCTCTCAGATGCCTTGACTCCCTCACTGTCTCTATCTCCTTAGTGCCTTCAACAACATTCTCAGTAACCTGGGCCATGTGCTCCTGGGTTGCCTCTTCCTGCTGATAGTCTTGCACCGGGACATTCTCCATCGAAGAGCTCTGGAAGCCAAGGATATCTTTGCCGTGGTGAGTAGAGGGCAGGTAGAGGGAGGTGGGAGCTAGGAAGGGTTATGGTTCCAAGCAGGATCTGCAAGTAGGAGGGACATCTGATGTGATGATGGATCACATGTAAGGGACCACACAGGGCAAGAGCATGGGTGCCGGGTTCAGCAGCAAAATCACTAATGAGGATCTTCCCACTGACCATGCTTCCTGCTTTTTCAGGAGTACGGGATTCCCAAACACTTCGGTCTCTTCTATGCCATGGGCATTGCACTGATGATGGAAGGGGTGCTCAGTGCTTGTTACCACGTCTGCCCCAATTACTCCAACTTCCAGTTTGGTAATCACAATTTATATCAGCTACACAGATCTGAGGTATAGGAGTCTTATCCTGGGACTCTCTCAAAAATGCCCATCTCGTAATTGCAAGGATTAAATGACATTACGTGTACTGAAGTGATCAGAGGGTACCTGGCTGCAGGGCATGATTTTCCCACATTGTATTATTTTTTCTCCCTGACCACATTTTATCGACTAGAAAGCACTGAACACTGAGTATTGATCTCATGGCTAGGTCTGCAGGTAGGCAGTGGGTTAAGTGTCAGGCAGCAGGTCATGTAGATCTACCAACAAGGCATCTAGAAATCTCCCTCAATGTAGCTTGGCTTAACTAAGCAGTTTGCCTGCTTTGGGTTGAAAGTAATAAAAAAATATCCAACTCTAATCGGATTAAATAACCAGTATATTTATCAGCATAAATCCAGCAGTGGCCCTGGCTCCACTGCTCTGTGACCACCCCCCTTGGCTGCACCCAGACTGCATGTTAGTCTTCTCCTCAGGCTGTGTTTCCTCCTGTTGGCAAAAATAGCTACATTGGGTCTTTGCTTCCTATCTCTATACTATGCTGTCTGGGGGAGGCAGCAAGCTGGCTTCCAGAAGACATCATTTGAAATCGAGGAAAGTTCTTTTCCCCATTTCCCCAGATGACAGCCCCTAACTCCTCAATAGCTCACACAGCCCTGAATCCACTTCAGATTCTTTCTGTGTGTGGGTTAGTTTGGGCCGGGATTGCTACACCAATCACCATGTCAAAGAAGGGGAGGTTACCTTTAGACAGGGGACACACTTCCCTGGAACCAGAAGTGCTGTGAGCCTTCCTAAGCAAACAAGCTGTGAGGTGTGCATTTCTGAACAGAAATGGAGCTGAGATATTTGAGTTGGCATCTTCATGCTATTAGGATGGAGCAGGAATAGCTGATACTGGAAGAAGGCAATTAACAATGTCCTCCGCACTTGAGGATGTGAATTTTGAAAATAGTCATTTTGTGTTTGTGCTCTAGCCTCCAGCTGTTAACACCACAGAAATTCTGTCATATTTTAACTTTTTAAAATTAGATGACATTTTTAATAGAGGAAATCTATAGAGAACAATACCATTCACCACTCAGAAGGAACAAATGCCAAAACTTTAAAATATTTGCCTTAATCTACTTTGTTAAAGAAATACAACATTGTGTAAAGTTGAGGTCCCATTTTAACTGCTTTCCAAACTTGTCCACTCTCTCCTTCCTTAGAAGCAACAACTATGATTAATTTTATATTTTATTAATTTTATTTTTATTTAAATTTTTATTTAAATTTATTAATTTTATTATATTTAATTAATTTTATATTATACTTCTAGTTTGTTTTTATAATTTTTCTTCATTTGAATAGTTTTTCATTTTAATTTGAATAACAATAATAATTTATCACACTGTGTTCTACACCCTTTTTTCATTCAACAATGTTTTCAAGATTTATTGGTAATGAATCAAGGATATCCAGTTCATTCATTTTTCAAGATTGTCACCATGTAATAAAAATATACCACATTTATTAATTTCTCTGTTGAACAGCACTTCGAGGTTGCCAGTATTTTGCTCAGTTCAGTTCAGTTCTGTTGCTCAGTCGTGTCCAACTCTTTGCGACCCCATGGACTGCAGCATGCCAGGCCTCCCATCACCAACTCCCAGAGTTTACTCAAACTCACGCACATTGAGTCAGTGATGCCATCCAACCATCTCATCCTCTGCCGTCGCCTTCTCCTCCTCTCTTCAGTCTTTCCCAGTATCAGGCTCTTTTCAAATAAGTCAGCTCTTAGAATCAGATGGCCAAAGTATTGGAAATTCAGCTTCAACATCAGTCCTTCCAATGACTGATTTCCTTTAGGACTCACTGGTTGGATCTCCTTGCAGTCAGTCCAAGGGACTCTCCAGAGTCTTCTCCAACACCACAGTTCAAAAGCATCAATTCTTCAGTGCTCAGCTTTCTTTATAGTCCAACTCTCACATCCATACATAACTACTGGAAAAACCATAGCTTTGACTAGATGGACATTTGTTGGCAAGGTAATGTGTCTGCTTTTTAATTTGCTGTCTAGGTTGGTCATAACTTTTCTTCCAAAGAGTAATCATCTTAATTTCATGGCTGCAGTCACCATCTGCAGTGATTTTGGAGCCCCCAAAAATAAAGTCTGCCACTGTTTCCACTGTTTCTCCATCTATTTGCCATGAGGTGATGGGACCAGGTGCCATGATCTTAGTTTTCTGAATGTTGAGCTTTAAGCCAACTTTTTCACTCTCCTCTTTCACTTTCATCAAGAGGCTCTTTAGTTCTTCTTCACTTTCTGCCATAAGGGTGGTGTCATTTGCATATCCTAGGTTATTGATATTTCTCCTGGCAATTTTGATTCCAGCTTGTGCTTCCTCCAGCCCAGCGTTTCTCATGATGTACTCTGCATATAAGTTAAATAAACAGGGTGACAATATACAGCCTTGACATACTCCTTTTCCTATCTGGAACCAGTCTGTTCTTCCATGTCCAGTTCTAACTGTTGCTGCCTGACCTGCATACAGATTTCTGAAGAGGCAGGTCAGGTACAGACAATTTTGCAATGAATATCTTCATATATGTCTCTTTGTGCACATTTGAGAAAGGTTCCCTGGAACACCTAGAAGTAGAGTTTGGGAATCACCTGCTTTATGCATCTTCCATTTTACCAAAAAAGAAAAAAGCCAAGTTTCTCCCCAGAGTATTAATTTGCACTCCCACTAGTTGAGTGAGAGTTCCCATTTACCCCATATCATCACTAATTTGTGTTATTGTTAGATATTTACAGTTTGCCACATTTTTTAGTAACATGGGACATTACATTGTTGTTTTAATTTACAGTCCCCTAACCCTCCTGGAGCTTCCCTGGTGGCTCAGATGGTAAAGAATCCACCTGCAATGGGTGGATCAGATGTGGGTTTAATCCCTGTGTGGGGAAGATCCCCTGGAGAAGGAAATGGCAACCACTCCAATATTCTTGCCTGGGAAATCCATAGACAGAGGAGCCTGGTAGGCTACAGTCTATGGGGTCACAAAAAAGCTGGACATGACTTAGCAACTAAACAACCACAACCCTCATACAGCTAAGCCATGTGTAATTTCTAGGTGTCTCCTGTCCCTAGGCTAGAAAGCTGTGTACATGAGCAATAATCAGTGTGGTTACATTTCAGGATGCTGAGAAGGACCTCCTGCGTCCAGCTGGGACTCTCTTTATTATCACACTATCCTGTCACTGTTAGGGGTTTTTTCGTTATTGGACAGGGGCATTTATACACATTCACCCCTGCGAGTGGGGGTAGTCAGTTATTCATCATATCATCTGATACTTCTATGAGCTAGGAGCCCCCCTCTTGGAGGGGGTGAGAAGTGGAGTGTGTAGAGTTTGCCTCGAATGTTTCTGGGGAGGCTATTACACTGGAGGTCACCACATGGGCTGAGGGCAGCAAATACTCTAAGGCCGGGAGGGTAGGATTCTCTAAAGATCTGTCTGCCGCCTACTGGATCCTGACTGTCTCGGCTCCTCCTCAGACACCTCCTTCATGTACATGATTGCCGGCCTCTGCATGCTGAAGCTCTACCAGACCCGCCACCCGGACATCAACGCCAGCGCCTACGCCGCCTACGCCTCCTTTGCCCTGGTCATCACACTCACCGTCCTCGGAGTGGTGTGTCCCTCCCCACAGCCAGCAGCCCTCTTGGGAGGATTTTTATTGTTTGTGGTTTTTTTGGACCTCAGGTGTACAGGTTTAATTAATCATAATCCTTGGCCCATGACACACTCTCATCATTGGTCCATTCATGGCATTTTTGTTATTTAGCTAGAATTTTTGATACTGTAACAGATCCCTGTATAACTGACCCTGGATACTGTTAATATAGAGCTGGGACCTGACTCACGTAAAACTGGAATAGACACACATAGGCCCTAGTGGGACAGAGACTGACCTGAAAGAAGAGAAGCCACTTCCCAAATGTGTGTGGACAAGTGTCAGTCATCTTCTCTTATTTGGAGAGCATCAGCCTCCAACTGTAGACCGACTGCCTCTTCGACTGCTATTCAGCTGCCTCGCCCTCTGCTGCCCTTTACCATTTCTTTCTTTTTCATGCGGCCAGGTAGCCATTATTTCTCCTTCTCTAAGTGTAGTAAGATCCCTGAGAGCTCAGAGGACAGGGAAATCCAAAATATAAACACAGCTCGGTTTTTGACAACGTATGCATGCACAAGAGACGGAACAACTTTAGTGAGTTCTTTGGGGGAAAAAATAGATGAGGGTAACTTCTGTCTTTACTTCTAGGTGTTTGGGAAAAATGACATGTGGTTCTGGGTCATCTTCTCTGCAATCCATATTCTGGCTTCTCTGGCCCTCAGCACCCAGATCTACTACATGGGTCGTTTCAAGATAGGTGAGTCACCTGTTCCTCTATACTAAACATGCCATTTAACGCCCCCCTCCCTGAGAAGAAATTGTCCTGCTTATCCTAAATGGGAGTGTTACTGGTCACTGTGAACACATGCTCTGAATTGTGTGTGTTTATTAGCATATATTTTCTCTAAGAGCTTCCTCTCCTGTATAAAATTTCAGCAACTTATTATCACTAGTTCTGTTTTCAACTGAGAAACTAAGCTAGCTCAGAGCTGAGGAATCCTTCTAACTCCAAGTCTCAAAAGCTTTGCAATTCACCAAGCTTTGAAAGTGTGTTTGCAGAACAGTATGATCATCAGACTGCTAGTTCCACCGAAAAGATTATTTCTCAGTTTGTAGTATTTAAAAAGATTATTTCTCTAACCATGCTAAGTGGCTATCGAGAATTTATATATTCTTTTCAAATTCTGGGACTGGAAATTTTAGAGACCAACTTGTCAATCTCAGAGGCAGGATACCTGCCTAACATTCTCTGACATTGTAAACAGATCATGTTAGAATGCCTAGGATCCTGTGGAAATCAGCTTCTAATCTACTGTTGGTCATTCAATATACATGGGAGCAAGTCATATTAGAGCATCTAAATTTCACCCATCATTTTAAGGTATGGGAAGTCAGACTCAAATATTCATTTGTATATTTCAAGAAAAACCAACATATATAAACATAGAGGCTCATCCCTAATATTTTCAGAGCCAAGGCAAGGTTGTAAATAAAAGTCTATACATCAAACATATGAAAATGTTTATGTTATAAAGAAAACTAAAAACACTATTATATACAGGGAAAAAAGAAAGCAGACCAATAACTGATAAATACACCTTTATTACAACCTAAAAGGTACAAGCTCAAATTTAAAATTCTCAGGTGCATGGGAGAATACCCTAGAACATAGAACAGAACACAGCTGTTATAGGAGAGCTGGTCTCCAGCCCCTGCCCCTCTTTTCTTCCCACTCCTGTCTCTGTCCTTCATCTAAAGGGGTCTCACAGGTATGCATATGGACACACTTGTCCAACATCCAATTGGCCATTCCTTGCCTCTAGAAGTGCATACTGCCCTCAGGAAAATAAACCAGGGGAAAAGTTTATGCAGGTTCTGAGAGCAAACTCAAGGCCATCAGGGCAGGGAATTCTTGGGTCCAGGAATTCAGAATGTGGCCTGGGAGAAGCAGTCCCCTTGCTCTGCAGACTCCTCACTCACTGGAGAATGAGGGCTTTTCAAATATGGCACCCCTGTTGCCCAGATCTAAGAGCAATTCTATATAACAATTGGCTTTAAAACTGTGCTGTGTACTTAGTTGCTCAGTCATGTCTGACTCTTTGCGACCCCATGGACTGTAACCTGCCAGGCTTCTCTGTTCATGGGGATTCTCCAGGCAAGAATACTGGAATGGATTGCCATGCCCTCCTCCAGGGGATCTTCCCAGTCCAGGGATTGAACCCAGTCTCCCGCATTGTGGGCAGATTCTTTACCATCTGAGCCACCAGAGAAGCCCAGCTTTAAGACTAGACAACAAAATGAAACAATCTCTCATTTTAGCAATTTAATTTTCCCTTTTGGCATGGTCAGTAGATTAGTACTTGGTGTTAACATAGCCAGGGTACCTCCAACTCCTCCAGTGGAAGCATCATGAGCTAGTTGTGTAGGACATCTGGTACAGCTCTCTGTTCATGTCCCATCCTCCATACTCAAAAGTGAATGAAACTGTACAAACTAAACTCTCAAAAGGAAAATAATTTAAGCACTATATTTCTGGGTTTTCCAAGCTGGAAAAATAAAACTGAATACAGATACATGTAATGGTCATGACCATTAATAGATAGAGGGGCTTTTAATATATTTGTATCACCTTTGCCCCATACCTTTTTTAAAAGGAGGAATTTAATGTAGTCTATTATAACCATGAAATAGTTTGTCAGGGTCCCAACAGGAAAAAGATGCCATGCCCAAAGACAAATGATTTATTCACAAAGGGACTCTCCATAGGATAGGAGTGGGGTAGAGAAGAATGAAAGTAACCTGAGGTTAGGAGCAGAGAAGCTTACTATCCACAAGCCCAAAAGGGCACAGAGGAAGTGGTTACCAAGATGTGGAAGGAGTGCATCATGGAGAGCAAGTCAGCAGGAAAGGAGCAATGTCCTTTGGTTGACAGGCAGCCTCACAGGGCGGGTACCAGGCAGAGTACTATCGTACTCTGAACTGACTGTCCTTTCTCTGTCCCTCCAGTCTCCTGCTGGGGCTTCTCACTGTCCAAACCCAAGGGAATTAAGGGGACCCACTGCATGGTCCCTATAGTCAGCCTCTCCAGGCATGGTAGGGACAGAGACATGGCAGGTGGGTCTGGAGAAGCAAAGGGAAGATAGTCCTCACATAGCTTATCTGAATATTTTAAATTCCTGTACCTAGGGAGTCTTCCCCAAGTGGTTACAGATTTACCAGAGTCAAAAGGAAAATTTGCTATTTCATTGTGACAACTGCATCTGCATTTAATCCAGAGGCAAGAAGTTGGGTTAGTGGAGAGTGGTCAGACAACTGCCTTTGCTTTCTCAAATCACAGATTCCTTTTCCTGTGGCCCTCAAGCCTTTCCTGAAAATAAATGTGGACACAGGAACAGTGGCAGCAAGGAGGCAGAGCACTGTATGGTGTTGTTAGTCACTCAGTCATGTCCGACTTTTTGCAACCCCATGGACTATAGTCCATCAGGCTCCTCTGTCCATTAGATTTCCCAGGCAAGAATACTGGAGTGGATTGCCATTTCTTTCTCCCAGAGAACTTCCTGACCCAGGGATCAAAACCAGGTGTCCTACATTGCAGGCAGATTCTTTACCATCTGAGCCAACAGGGAAACCCAGACAGAAAACTACAGAGCTACTTGCCTAAATCACTGTTGTGTCCCTTGCCTCCCCAAAAGGACCACAGAGAGAGGGAGGGGTATAAGCTGCAAGGAGTGCACAAAAAAGCACAGGGAGAGAAAAGTCTGACTCATGCTCTGTACATGTGAAACAGGCAGAAGCAGTCTGTGTTCTTTATGAGAAAACATTTCTTTTGTAGCCAGAAAACGAAATTCAAGTCATCCATTTCTAGAGGAAAATAAAACAATCAGTAGTTTACCTGTTTGGCCTCCTTCTTACAAATCTTTTTTTTTTTCTTCTCATTTCTCTGCTTCCCACTGATTCAGATGTGTCTGACACAGGTAATATTCAGCTGTCCTTCCCGGGGTTTTCTAGGTTGTTTTCTTAACAAAACAACCTGCCTGGCTGACCTGCCAAGACTTCTTTCTGAACACCCCTTCCAGATTGGGCAGGATTTGGTGGGAAGGGGGTGCAGAGAGAGACTCAGAGACAGGTATGCACCCTAACCAACCCACCTCCTCTGGGCTAGTGCATGCACATCCCCCTCCCCCCGGCCCCAGAGTGTATCTAGTCCAGCTGCTTTAGCTGAACCCAGGGTTGGCCGTGAAAAATAGCAGCAGTCACAACAGACCTGGAGTCCACCTTCACTGAAATGTTCACTTCAGGCAGACCCCCAGCCTTGCCTGTGACATCTACATGTGGATGGCTCACAGGACAGCCCCACCTGGGGCTCTGGTCCTGTTTATATAACAATTATGACATGCGCACTCAATGTGTTTCATACCATCCTTTTGAAGGATTGCATTAAAAAAAAAAAAAAGCTCCCCCCTCTCTCTCTCCCATCTATGTTCCTTTGACTATTGTTTCAATCCACATTCAGGCTTTCTGGACATGCTCAATAGTCCCTAGTATCCCCTGGTTTAATTTTTACCGACTTTTAACCACACTGAGAAATACAAATTTGAATCTTTACAAGTTACGACTTCCCATGGTCTAGAGAGAGCAGATGTTTTAAGGTGACTTTTGAGAAGCCCCATCACATCTCTGCTGTAAAGAAAACAGCACTAAAGTAAACCATCAACAGAGCGAAACTTAGCCACAGGAGACCATAGGCGGGTTGGCCAACTGCCCGAGTGATCTGTGAGTGCTCATCCCCTGTGTTCATCTTGCTTGCCTTTCTGCGGGATGCTGCACGGATAAGGCACACCTGCCATGAAATCCCTGGTGGCGTTGGGGGTGGTGGTGCATTTTTTAAAGCAAGTATTTATTATTGACCTATTAGGTGCAAAGCATGACTTTTATGAGGTGAGGACATCTTCATCCTGGCCACAAAAGCTCAGGCCACAGTGGAGTGTTCTATATTATTAGTGACTAAGCCTTCTCACCATGCGATTGTGTCATCAGCAGATTGGGGAATTTTCCGGTGGGCCGCTATGGTGTTCTACACAGACTGCATCCAGCAGTGCAGCCGGCCTCTGTATATGGTACGTGCATGTCCTTGTGTCCCTTGGCTCTCTCCCAGAAAACAGGATAGCGGGGCAGTCACTCAAGGCTCCCCAAACCAAGGGGGCCAGATGGCCTAGGGTGGCTGAGGTCCAGTTAGTGAGGGAAGAGGCATCTTGCTTCCTTTTCTTCTCACTCTTAAAAGACAAGATGGAATGGTGCCCTTTTTACACAAAAATTGCTAATATGTAAAGAAAAAATATATATAAAACTGTCAAACAGTGATGACTGCTAGGGAGGGAGGATCAAGACAGAGTGTCCCTGTAAAATAATCATCCCAAGAGGTATGACTATTTCATTTGTGAATAGAAGGCAGTATTAATGATGACACCTGGACCATCCCAAGCCAACAGGATCATATGGTCATTCCAATCACTTTCATCAGGAACTTATACTTTCCAGAGTTTTCATTTGTTTACTTTTTGTGTACTGTTTGATTCTGACAGTGAGTAGGAATGCTTTCTTCAAATTTATAGTTATTGGTTCTTGGTGAAAATACACTGTTAAATATTCTGCCTTATAGTTTTCAATATATTACATGTTTCTACAGTGAGCAGAGGGATCAGGGTGCTGGTCTCAGCTGCCTTGGCTCATTGGCCAGGGACCCCAGAGAACTTGCATCCCTCCTCTGAGCCACTGCCCCAGTCTTTACCCAGGCCTGTGGTCAGAATCAGGCCCTTTGGGCCTGGCACATAGGTGTCCACTGAATTCCTGCTGATAGTTTATAATCAGAAGGATTTTTATATAAAGAATATATAAATGTGAATGTCTTTAACCCTGTAGAGCTTGGGCAGGAGCTATAGGCACTAAAAATTGAGGAAATTGAGGCTGGAGGGTTTTACTCAGGAGAGAATGTAAAATCCCATTAGGACCTGTGAGTATTATGGGAGACAAGACTCAGATGTGAACCTTATGGGGAAATTAGCGCTTTTGTTTTTACATTAATTGATGCATGCTGTATTTTTAAAAATAGACTATTTTTAGAGTATTTTAAAAGGTTTTAGGTTTGGGGAAAATTGAGAAGAAAATACGGAGATTTCTCAAATGCCCCTCCTCCACACAGGCACAATTTCCCCCATATCAACATCCCTACCAGAGGGGTGTGTTTGTTAGTTGATGAACCTGTTAACATATCATTGTCACTCCAAGTCTGCAGTTTACATTACAGTTCACTCCTGGTGGTGTACATGCTATGGGTTTTTTGATGAGTTTGTAATTCATCATTACAGCATCAAAGTAGTTCCCTGCCCTAAAAATCCTCTGTGCCCTACCTATTCTTCCCACCCCCTCCCTCCCCAATCCCACCAACTACTGATCTTTTTATTGTCTCTTTTAGTCTTATCTTTTCCAGAATGTCGTATGACTGAAATAATACAGCATATAGTCTTTTCAGATTGGCTTCTTTCACTTAACAATATACACTTATGTTTCTTGCATGTCTTTTCATGGCTTGATAACTCATTTCTTTTTAGCGCTAATATTCCATTGCCTGGATGTACTATGGTTTATTTATCCATTCACCTATTGAAAGACATTTTGGTTGCTTCTACGTTTGGGCTGTTATGAAAAACTGTGCTATAAAATGTGGGCATTTTTGCATAGGCCTGTTTTCAGCTTCTTTAGGTAAATACCAAGGAGCACAATTGCTGGATCATATGGTAAAAGTATGGTTAGTTTTCTAGGAAACTGTCTTCCAAATGATTGGACTATTTTGCATTCCCATTAGCCATGAATGAGAATTGCTCCATATCCTTACCAGCAATTGGTGTTAGTGTTTTGGATTTTGGTATTTCTAGTAGGCAAATTAATTTTTTTTTAAGGAAGATATTTCTTTTAATAGATTTATTTAATATTTAATAGATTTTATTTAATAGATTTTTATTTAAAATCTATTAAATAAAATTTTAATTTTATTAAAATTAAATAGATTTTATTTAATAAAATTTAATAGATTACCCACAAAGAGAATCACTACTTTGAAACAGATGAGTGGCCATGAAAACTAAAGTATAATCAGATAGCACCTAAAAGTTTTACAAGCAGATTATGAATAATAGAGTTAGAGTTATTGTTAGAGTAATTGCCCTTTGAGATGAACCTTACCTCTCTATTTTCTCCCGTACCAATAAATTTAATCTTTGACCAGGGGATTTTTGCAGAAACTAATGCCTGTGGCCAGCAATTTTTATTTTGGCCAGCCAAAAATTCTGTTATTTCACTAGCACTATGCAGGTTATTACATTCAATATACAACTGACACACCTGTGATGTCTTCTCTAGCACCATGAATTTCATTTTCACTTTCTGTATCAGAATCAATCACTAAGTTTTTTGTCTTTTTGTTGGTCTAATAATCACATCATCTGGATCCATATTCTGAAGAACTATGATCTTCTCAGACACTAGTATATATGTCACTCAGACTATCAGAGAAACTATTTGCATAAAATTCACCAAAAAATTCTTCTTCACTCAAAAGTTCGTGATATATCATTTAAAAAAATTTATAGTAATACACTTGAGTTTATAATATATACAGTGAAGTGAAAGTCACTCAATCATGTCTGACTCTTTGCAACCCCACAGACTATACAGTCCATGGAATTCTCCAGTTCAGAATACTAGAGTGGGTAGCCTTCCCTTTCTCCAGGGAATCTTCCCAACCAGGGATCAAACCCAGGTCTCCTGCATAGCTGGTGGATTCTTGACCAGCTGAGCCACAAGGGAAGCCCAAGAATACTGGAGTGGATAGTCTATTCCTTCTCCAGCACATCTTCCCAGGAATCGAACCGGGGTCTCCTGCATTGCAGGAGGATTCTTTACCAACTGAGCTATGAGGGAAGCCCTATAATATACACAAGATTGGAACAAAAACCAAATGGAGCAAAATGTGAAAGATAACAACAATCGTGAATTATATTATGAGCTCTCGGTCAATTTTAGGTGCTAACAGCTTCTCACGGTGATGTCAATTGTATCATTCTCTAAAACGTATTGATATGTCTCCAGTCAATAATGTGTTCAAATCATGTGTCTAGAAACCAGAAGCCTGAGAGCTGCGGGACCTCCTTGGAGCCAGAGTAATGAAACAAATTCCAGTTGTGTCTCAAGAGCTGCCTTAGGTCCCACCAGTCACCACAATCCAGGGAAAGAATCCCAGATGCCCAGCTCCTTTAAAAACAGGAAGGAAACAGCAAGACTTCTGCTTTACTTACCAGGCCTTCTTTTACAGGGAGGAGGTCATATCTGCTTGCAGTCAGAGGCTTTACCATTTAGTCCTTCGGAGGATTAGTCATTCATAGGCACAGCTCTCCTATATCGATAGAAAAACTGTTTTCACTAAAGCAGTTTTCCCATAATTGAAATTCCCATATGGTAAGAAGTAGTGCACGCAGCCTTTCATTCACTGATTTCCCTCCTCCTTTCCAGGACAGAATGGTGTTACTCATCGTGGGGAACCTGGTTAACTGGTCCTTGTAAGTAGTCTTAGGAAAACATGTCTTTCTCTTTACTAATTTCTCTGTAACACTGTGGCTTAGCTTTCCTTGGCTGTCATTTTTACAAAGAAATCTGAAATTAAGGAGAGTGTGGGACTGTGCTTGTTCTAGAGACTTGAAAGAAAGCTACTTGTTGCCCTGCAAAAAATGCACTTGTGTACTAGCAGTGGCCTGCTACTGCTGCTAAGTCACTTCAGTCATGTCTGACTCTGTGCGACCCTATCCCTGGGATTTTCCAGGCAAGAGTACTGGAGCTGGGTGCCATTGCCTTCTCTGAGCAGTGGCCTATCTTAAAGCAATGAGTTCCACACATTGATGCCTGGAACTCATTTGTTCAACAAGACAAACATCAAATTTGCTATATTTATGTGGATAAATTAGATTAGCTATATATGCATATACATACACACACACATATTTATAAAGAGAGAGATTAACTATGCCAGCAGTCAAAAATGCAGCCATTTTAAACTATTTAGAGCTTTCCATAATGCTACCCAGTAGGCATTTCTCTTTCTTACTAGGGGGAATGGGATGGTGTGTGTGTGTGTGTGTGTGTGTGTGTGTGTGTGTGTGTGTGTGTAAGTCTCTTTCCTGTTTCTTTCTTTCCCTCCAGGTCTCAGTCTTCCTACTCTGCGTTTATCATTCTTCTTCCTTTTCTTTTCCTTCATTATTACCTTGGCTTTGTTTCCTCATGCATGTATGCTGTTGCTTCACTTGTGTCCAACTCTTTGCAACTTATGGACTATGTAACCCGCCAGGCTCCTCTGTCCATGGGATTCTCCAGGCAAGAATACTGTAGTGGGCTGCCATGCTCTCCTCCAGGATCAAACCCGTGTCTCTCACTTCTTTACCAGGCAGGTTCTTTACCACTAGAGTCACCTGGGAAGCCCCTTTGCTTCCTCAAATGACCTCAAAGTAGAACGGTGCAGCAAAAGTACGTTTATGCTAGCTATATTTTATGTATCTAGTGTTTGCAACTTATACTTAAAAATGTGAATGAGTGACATTTTATTTCTCTCTCAAAAAATAAGTAAGTTTAGCTGCTTGTATTAGTGGTTCTTAGCTGATCAGTGACCTTTGATAGACAGATGACTCTCCTCCTCCTCCCTTTAAGGTATCAGATATGAAGAAAGAAGCACACCCCAGGAAAACCAGAATCAAGTCATGAGAATTTGAATCTTATTTAGGGGCCATGTGCATCCAAAATAAACTTCCCACAATGTTGCTGTCCCAGGGGTTACCTTGGGGAAGGTCCATACCTGTGAAGGACTGTGCTTTACTGAGGGACATGTTGAGATGGGTGATTCTTGGCCATGATCACCAGTGATGTTCTCTTGGCCACCCTTTTAGTGAAGACCCTACAGTCCTAGTGACTTTGTAAGACAGGGTGGAGGGTGCTGGTAGGAGATATGATAATGAAAAACCGATGACAATGTCCAGAGGGTCAGAATCACCTGGCCTGTCCCTGCCTCTTGTAGAACTAAAATCAAACCAAGTCTGCTCACAAGACAAGGTGTATGGCCTTTCTCTTCTTAGCAGGAGCTCTGTGGGACACCAACACCTGCAGGGTGGAGGGAAATGAGGCACAATGAGACACTAGTACTGTGACTGCCCAGTAGGGGGGGTTACCTCCTCACTAAGGTCTCCATCAGTTTCCCATGGATATTACAAAAGTTATTAATATATATTAATATATAGAGAGATGTATGTATACATATAGAGAGACAGAATGAGAAAATAAAACAAATGTGGCAAAATACTAATAATTGATGAATCTGTGTGAAAAGTATACAAGAGTTTAGAGTACACTGAAGATTTCAGATTGTGAGAAGAGGAAATTTCCTATATTATATAGAGCAAAGTCAGTTGGAATAAAAAGTGAACAAAAACATTTCTTCGAATCATCTTTAATTTCCTTTATTATATTTTATAGTTCTTAGCATATAAATGTTTTACCTCCTTTGTCAGGTTTATTCCTAAATATTTTATATATTTATTTAGGTGTGAGTTTAAAAGGTATTTTTTTAAACAATCAGTGGAAAGCTATCCCATGCTGTTGGATTTGGAGAATTTATGTTGTTAAAGTGGTCATACTACCGAAGGCAACCTACAGATTTAATGTAATCTCTTTCAAGTTACCATGATATTTTTCACAGAACTAGAACAAACAATCCTCAGATTAAATGGAACCATAAAAGACCCTGAATTGCCAAAATGATTCTGAGGAAAAAGAAGAAAGCAAGAGGTATAACCCTCCAAGACTTTAGACAATACTACAAAACTACAGCAATTAAAACAGCATGATATTGGCACAAAAACAGACATACAAATCAATGGAACAGAATAGACAGCTGAGAAATAAACTCACATATCTATAGTCAATTAATCTTCCATAAATGAGGCAAGAATATACAATGGGAAAAAGTCTCTTTTCCCATTACAATACCCAATACAATAAAATCCTGGTTTGATCCCTGGTGTTCGGAAAACTGGACAGCCACCTATAAATCAGTCAAGTTAGAACACACCCTTATACCATACAAAAAAATAAACTCAAAATAGATTAAAGACTTAAACACAAAATATGACTTGATAAAACTCCTAGAGGAGATTATAGGCAAAACATTCTCTGATATAGATCATACCAATGGTTTCTCAGGTCAGTCTCCCAAGGCAATAGAAATGAAAATAAAGACAAACAAATGGGGCCTAATCAGACTTACAAGATTTTGCACAGCAAAGGAAATCATAACAAAACAACCAATGGAATGGGAGAAAATATTTGCAAACAATGTGACCAACAAGGGTTTAATTTCCAAAATATACAACCAGCTTATACAACTCAATAATAAAGAAAACAAACAGCCCAATCAAAAAATGGGCAGAAGACCTAAATAGAGTTTTCTCCAAAGAAAACATACTGATGGCCAGTAGACACATGAAAAGATGCTCCACATCACTTAATTATTAGAGAAATGCAAATCAAACTACAATGAGGTACCACCTCCACCTCACACTGGTCAGAATGACCATCATTAAAAAGTCTACAAACAGCAAATGCTAAAGAGGGTATGGAGGAAAGGGAACCCTCCTATACTGTTGGTGGGAATGTACGTTGGTGCAGCCACTCTGGAAAACAGTATGGAGGTTCCTCAGAAAACTAACAATAGAATTACCCTATGATCCAGTAATCCAGTAAACTATAATTCAAAAAGAAATGGGCACTTATACATTCATAGAAGCACTACTCACAATAGCCAAGACATAGAAACAATCTAAATGTTCATTGACAGAGAAATGGATAAAGAAGATGTGGTACATATATACAATGGGATATTACTCATCCATTAAAAAATGAAATAACGCCATCTGCAGCAACATGAATGCAACATGGATGCATCCAATGCAACTAGAGATTATCATAGTAAATGAAGTAAGTCAGGAAGAGAAAGACAGGTATCATATGATACCACTTATATGTGAAATCTAAAATATGACACAAATGGACCTAGTCACAAAACGGATTCATAGACATAGAGAACAGACTTGTGGTTGCCAAGTGCAGGAGATGGGCAGGGGGATGGAGGAGGGGTGGACTGCGAGTTTGAGGTGAGTAGATGCAAGCTATTACATATAGAATATAAATAAGGCCTAACTGTATAGCACAGGAAACTATATTCAGTACCCTGAGACAAATCCTAATGGAAAAGAACACTAAAAGAATGTATATATGTGTATAACTGAGTCACTTTGCTGTACAGCAGAAATTAGCACAACATTGGAAATCAACTATACTTCAATAAAAAATATGTTTTAAAAAATGAACAAAAATGTTAATAACAGCTTTACACTTTAAATACTTAGCAATAAACTTTGAGAGATATGTAGGATCTTTCTGCAAAACATTTAACTACCTCATTAGGAGATATAGATAAAAACTTAGCTAAATGAAGAAAGAACGCATGCCCAGGGTGAGATTAACTATTGTAAAGATATAAATTCTCAAGGTAATGTGCAAATTTAGAACCAGAAATGGAACTAAGTTAATAGGATTTTATTTGGAAATTTATTTACCTAGTTAGACAAAATTTTCAAAGGTCTCTGCAAAGGATTAACAGAAGAAAGAAGGCACAGAGGTATATAGTAACAGCCCAGCACTATCCAACAGAACTTTCTGGAACAAAGCTTAAATGTTTATTAGACACTTGTGGTTATTGAGCACTTGAAATGGGGTCTGACTGAGAAAATTCACTTTCAATTTTATTTAATTTTTATTTAAATAGCCACATATGGTTACCATATTGGATAGTGCAAACTAGCCTAACCTATGTTGGGAGTTCCCTGGTAGCTCAGTTGGTGAAGAATCTGCCCGTATTACAGGAGACCCCGGTTTGATCCCTGGGTCAAGAAGATCCCCTGGAGAAGGAAATGGCAATCCACTCCAATATTCTTGCCTGGAAAATCCCATGGACAGAGGAGCCTGGTGGGCTACAGTCCATGGGGTCATAAGGGTCGGACACAACTTGGCAACTAAACTACATCTGACAACCTATGTTAGATAATCTATAAAACAATAATAACATGGTGAGGCACTGATTCAAAATTATAAATTAGTGAATCGGAATGAAGAGGCCAGAAATCCAACTATATATCATACAGGTACATAGTGTGTCTGTATTAAAAACAAGCTTTCAAAACCACAAGATAAGAAAGAGCTATATAATAAATATTTTTGTTATCCCTGCATTGCAGGCATTCTTTACCATGTGAGCCACCAGGGAAGCCCCACATAATAAAGATTTCTGTTATAACCGAGTAGAAATTTGGAATAAAATTAAGGCCAAACCCCAACCAAATAAACTTCAATATTTAGACAGCTAGCTAAAAATTGGTAATATGTGTCAAACCAATTGCTGAGACAATTCTATGTCTAGTAATCTAATCATCTTAAATGCAAAAAGAAAAAAGCATGATATGTCTAAAGGTATTCATTGTTGCAGTTTTTATAATAGTGAACAACTGAAGGACAAAGAGAAAACTAGAGAGTGTGGTTTAGGTACATCCATGGATAGGAACTTTATAATCATTAAAATGAATGTTCTGAAAGAGATTTAATAAATTGAAAGTTGAAAGGTTTTTAATTCCCCTCCCAGCAGAAATGGGGGTGGGGGTTGGAAGGGTCGGTAATACTACAAATCCAGCTTCCTGGCTACACAACAATTCCTCTCTGCACTCAGTGCCCTATTTGGACTCATCAACCGACCCCGGGACTTCGCTTCCTACATGCTGGGCATCTTCATCTGCAACCTGCTGCTCTACCTGGCCTTTTACATCATCATGAAGGTAAGAGTGGCTGCTGGCTCGGCACCATGGGTCCTCCTCAGGTGAGCAGGTGATGCATGCAGCCTGGCAGCATTTGCTTCTCACCCACAGCTTCGCAGCTCCGAGAAGATCCTCCTGATCCCACTTTTCTGCATTGTCGCCACCGCTGTAGTGTGGGCTGCCGCCCTGTATTTTTTCTTCCAGAATCTCAGCAGCTGGGAGGTAAGAGAAGAGTGTTTGTCTCCTGGACAATGTGCTCTCTCCATCTTGCTTTTCTGACCTTCCTACCCCCCTCTCTTCACGGGCTTATTGCTGTTTATCTTTTTTATATTCTCTAATGTGAAAGCTTTTTTAAAAGGGGTTGGTTTTATATAAATATCCACACATAAATGCTCAATAAATGCCATGTCATTATTATTGGGGTGGCGCTTCTTAAACATGAAGTCCTATCCCCACTGCCAATGTGATCTTCACTGTGTGTTGTATTATAATTGCAATCCTGTTCCCAATGGATGCTTAATATGTACAGAAAGCTTGATTAGTTTATCATCTCCACCTTATCATAGTCATCATCCAGATACCCAGATGCAGGTGTGTATAAATCCATTTGACAGATAGGAAAGCTGAGGCCTAGGAAACTGGTGATGCATGTGAGGCATAGAACAGGGAGGAAGTCTTAGCTCCCCATCACCATAACCACCGCAATCAATGTCAAAACATTTTTATCACCCCAGGAAAAATCCTACATCCATTAGCAGTCACTCCCCATTTCTCCCTAACCCCTTAGCCTGAGGCAACCACTAATCTTGTCTCTATAGATCTACCTATCCTGGACATTTCATATAAATGGAATCATATGCAGTCTGAGTCTGCCTTCTCTGTGTAATGTTTCCTAGGTCCACCCATGTACAGATCACATTATGTCAGTATCATGTGTTTTTATTGCTGAATAATGGCTCAGACAGTAAAGATTCTTCCTGCAATGTAGGAGACCAGGGTTCATTCCCTGGGTCAAGAAAATCCCCTGGAGAAGGGAATGGCTACCCACTCCAGTATTATTGCTTGGAGAATGCCATGGACAGAGGAACCTGGTGAGCTGCAGTTCATGGGGTCGCAAATAGTGAGACATCACTGAGCAACTAACACTTTCACTTTTCATTCCATTGTATGAATATGCCTCATTTTAGCAGATGTTCAATGGATGAACATTTGGGTTGTTTCCAGTTTTTGGCTTTTATGAATGCTGCTGCTATGAACATCTGTGGACACATTTTTGTGTGGACGTATGTTTTCTTGGAAGCTAATGATAATGTAGTGACCCAGGCATCTAGTAGTGACTGTAGGTTTCTGGATGCTCCGTCCTGTACGGAGTTGAACTGTGGGACTGCTCCCCCACATCCTGCCTCACCTCCTTCCAGGGAACGCCAGCCGAGTCCCGGGAGAAGAACCGAGAATGCACTCTGCTGGATTTCTTTGACGACCATGACATCTGGCACTTCCTCTCTGCTACTGCCCTGTTTTTCTCATTCTTGGTGAGTTTATAAAAACTTTTCTTCTCTCTTTACATCTTGTATTCTCTTTTTTCCTCTTCCCTCCTTACTTACATCCTCCTATTTTTAATCCCCAAGTCTTCATTATGATTCAATGTACAGATTATCTTTTTTTTTAACATTGTATCCTCTAGTTAGATCTTCATTTTGTTCTTCTACTCTTCAATACTTTAAGAAACAGTGATAAAATAATTTTCCTTCAGTTGCACAATGCTTGGACTGCACTGATGATTAGAACTCACATGCCCAGCTCCCCCAGGAAGCGCTTTTGGTGGCACTCCCTACCATCTCAGCCACACTAGGTTATTCCTTCTTCTGTCATACTCACATTCCTCCCTCTCCTCCAGTCTCACTACATACCTTATTAATACAAACATTTTACAAGTTCCTCAAGTGGCTCAGGATAGCAGCCAGGCCTCTTGTTGACTTTCTAACCAGTCTCTTTCAAATCTCTCCTGAAGTTCCTTCGTTTTTTGCCCACACACCTTCCTTGAAGCTGTGCATATTATAACAACCCAGGATGACAACTCCCAGCATAATTCCATCTTAATTTTGACTTTTCCATAATAAAAGTATATGGTACCTGCACACAAGTTCTTTTAACAAGATATAGGGGCCTCCAGGTTTCACTCTGACCCTTTAGGAACCTCAAGAGTGGAGCGGGGCTGTCTCCTAGTGGCCAGTTTGGGAAGTTTAACCAGTCTGTATAAACATTCTTCCTTAAGGCTTTCGTTAATCGTCACGTTCTCTGGGGAGACAGAGATAATAAAATTAGAGCTAAGAGTTCCCTCTACATCACAGAGAGAGTGATGGTAGAGGGAACTATAAATGGAGGGTGGGGGAACAATTCTTATAGCAATATTCTATTGCAACAAGGTTTTATTCCCTTTAGGTCCCCACCCAAATGTCCCCTTCTAAGTGGTAATGATGTCCCAGCTAACCCCCCAATTTTTTTTTACCTCATCCCATCCCATACTCCCTATATTCCCTCCACAGTTTAATTTTTATCCTTAGTACATACTGCTATCTAACATAGTAGCCTCTGTTCCTGCATTTGCTTCATGTCTGAAGCCCTCTCTCAAATGTAAGCTCCATCAGGGTAGACATTTGTCTCTCTTTTATCCTAAGCTGTATCCCTAGCATCTAGAATAGCACTTAATAGACCCTTGATAGATACTTGAATAAATGAATTGTGGAATTACAAGTGTCTACTAAGAGCACAGCGCTGCAGAAGACATGAAAATAATTAAGTACACTTGTGAGCCTTAGAAAACAGGGACTTATCGCAACTGTGCATTCCTCTCATTTTTCTGCCCGTCTTGTTTCAGGTTTTGTTAACCCTAGATGACGACCTGGATTTGGTTCGGAGAGACCAGATTCCTGTCTTCTAAGCCTCCAGCATGGAGAGCCAGGGAGAGAAAGCCACTGATCTTGGTGCTGTTTCATGAAAAACATAGGGACTGCAGCAAAGTCACCACTGCCAAACGTTCCACTTGCCCGCTGTCGGGTGAGCCCGGTACACATTCCCACAGGGAGGAGAGGAGCTAAGGGGGACCCAAACCTGCAAGAAAGGGAAGCAGAAGAGAAGTTGCAGCTGTGGACAGAGATGATCCCTCCAGGGTCAGAAACACCCAGCATCCCCTTTTGTTGCAACTCTGAACTAGATGTGGTCAAGCTGCATCGAAGTCAACCACCTTCGGACTCCTCCTACCCTCACCTGAGATTCGCCAGCCATGGCAGAACCATGCTACACTCTGCCCTCCACCTGCCTCCCTGTCCAGAGAGGCCAGCAGCCCAGATTTCCTGCCCAGAAACTCCAGGCTGGCCCCCTATGCACCTCTGTAACATCCGCTGCTCTAGATATCCCCAAACACCAGCCTCCTTCTCCAAGGTCCTGGGATGATGTGATTCCCTGAAGTCTGGTAGAGGGGTGGCTCCAAGGCCCTGCCCAACTGGGATAGATGTTCTATAGCACCAGCTGGTCACCTCCACTGCAGGGATGCTGTACTCCTCCCTCAGGTTCCCGGCAGCATTAGGAAGACTCCAGGTTGGGCTCCAGGTTGTCACACACTCTTGGCGGGTAACTGTCTCTGGCACCAAGGCGTGGGTGCTTCCCTGTTCCCTGAGTCTTCATCCTGCTATTGTGTGTTGACCCCATGACTCAGGCTCTATCTTCTTGGGAAGGCCCTGTTTCTCCACAGATCAGCTCCAAGGTGGAAGGGGAAATGGGAAACTTCCACCATCAGGAGGAGCAAGAGGAATGCCCGATAGCACTATGAGACTGGTGACATCAGCATCAGGTCAACGGGCCTTGCACAAAAGACTTGGGCTCCTGGAACAGATTTAGCAAAGGCAAAAGTACCTCCAATTCAAATAGCTCCATCCTGTGCCCACATCTCCCTTGGGTAAGACATAAGTGTTCTCATCAGGGTCACTGCTCTCAGGCTCCTGTGCCACCGACCATGACCCTCCTCTGCTGCTTCATGCAGATCAGGTACTTCATCCAGACTTTCCCCCCCAAGGTTCTCTGGAGGCCACTCTCAGGGTGAGTGCATCTCCCTCCTCCTCTCCAGTGGCAGAGAGCTCAGCCAGTTTGGGGTTTTCTCAGATTCACATTCTCTCCCCAGGACAGTGTTGAAAAGCTCAGCACCCCCCACCCTCACTCTCACGCTGGTGGCTGCTCTGCCCCTAGGAAGTCCCATTTTGACCAAACTCCCTTGTTACCTGGGCTAGGATGTCATCATTCTTGTACATGCAAACACATGCTGAAGTTACTTTCTCACCTCTGCTTTCCTGATCTTTCATTAGAGAAATGGATCAGCCACCCTTTTTAAAATATATTATTCTTTCTCTAAAATAATGTTCAAAACACATTTTGAAAGTTTAAATAGCAAACTTTCCCTAATTTTAAGAACATGGAGATGCTTTCAATGAAGCATTGTGACCTTTTTTTCTAAAATGCTCCCAAATTTGTAATTGGTCTTCTGTTATTCTTTATTTCTTAAAAATTGTTGGGTTCCATATGCCATATGACTTCCCAGATGGTGCTAGTGGTAAAGAACCACCTGCCAATGCAGGAGACATAAGAGACATGGGTTCGATCCCTGGGTCTGGAAGATCCCTTAGAAGAGGGCATGGCAACCCACTCCAGTTTTCTTGCCTGGAAAATCCCATGCACAGAGGAACCTGGCATGTTGCAGTCCATGGGGTTGCAAAGAGTTGGACATGACTGAGCAACTGAACTGAACTGAACACATAGGCCATATGAAGGCCACCTAGTAAATGGTTCTATTAATCTAACATCTATAACAAATTTCAAACCTGTTTAACTTTGCTGAGTTGACCTAATTATTTTTAATGCACTAAAGGATTTTGTATCCAAAAAAGATGGGGGCGGGATGTAAACAACAAAGTTTGTTCAAGCACCCCTGTGGCCTGAAGTGAATAAATTGTAGGACAATTAACCTGTTTGGTAGCTTGTCTGGGAAATATGTCCATGGAAATGGAGAGGGGGCCGTGTAGAAATGGGTGGATGATTATTCAGCATTGTTTTCTGACAGTGTCTGCCTAGTGCTTAAACTCACATATTGTGATTCAGTTTTGTTCTCTACAGGACTGAAAACCCAGACCAAGCCTGCTCCTATAAATATCAATTCTAAATGTATTTGTTGTTAGTTCTTTCTATAGTGATGATTTGTGCAGTGGTAGGAAGATACAAGAAAGGCATTTGACTGTGTCTGTTGGGTTGATAGGAACTCAGGGTGGAGGGGATGGCCAGAGTTATTCATAGTGGTCCCTCATCCACGCTTAGCACAGGCCTGTGCAAATTCTGTGCTCATGGACTTCTCTCTTTACATGAGGGGAAGGCAACTCTGAGTTCAACAGGAGGGTAACAGGAGACAGCCAGCCTGTGAGGAGGATCTTGGCAGAGGCACAGAGTAACGAGAGCAGTTCACTGGGAAGGCAGAGATGTGGCAGCCAGAGGAGCAAAACAGCATATAAGAAATGGCCTTGTCACACCTCTGATGAAGCCCCAGCTGTTAGCACTGGGTGGTAGAGGGGTCAGCCTAGTTTTATTTTAGCAGCAGGAGTAGCCAGTGGAAAACCAGAGTCTATCTGGGGAAGGGACTTTCCATGGCTGAGAGAGTCAGTACCTGGGGCAATGACAGTGGCAGCTGCTGCTTCTATGGCTCCAGGCAGCCCCCAGAATGGTCAAATTATGTGTCAGGGGAACAATAATACCCAAATGTTTCTCCTCCTAGGAGACAGTCTGTTTAAAACTTGGGGAAAGGGGGAAAACAAAGACAAACATTCTTCACAGAAGGACAAGTTGGGTCTTGGAAAAATTCTTGAGTCAGACTTTAGTCCAGATATGTTCACCTGCATGCTGTGTTACCTTGTGCAAAGTGCTGTAACTCTCTGGTCTTCACCTGCCACATCTACCTGACACTCCATGGAGCTGTGCAGAGCAGGAGAAGCAGTGCCTGCAAAGAAAAGATCCTCACCTGCACCTCTTGAATCCTGCAGGGTGGCAGGTTCCCCTGCTTGGCTGGCATCTCTCACCCATGGGGGCCCTTCATTGAAACCAGCTGTGCTGTTTTCTGTCCTCAGTCCCAGGAAGCCCTGAAGGAGCCGGGAGGACTCTCCACCTCCAGAGGAACTGTCCAGAGTTAACAAACATCTCCCTCCCCTCCTTGTCCTTTTAAAGCTGCATATCACTGTCTCTGGCCCTTAAGACTGCAACACAGATGAAAAATCTCTACCAAAGCTAGGGCCAAGTGGAAAGACTGGTTGTGCACAAAGTCACACCTCATCACTGCCAGCTCTGCCCTGGGAATATCAGAGAAAACCTAGACTTTGTCCTCTCCCCAGCAGTTACTGCTACCACGGTCCAGGGGATGCCCTATGCAAACGTTTCCCTGACCCTCCCCACCCTTATCTGTAGCGAAAGCCGGGATGTTCAGTCTGCAGGTGACAAAACCGGTCCCAGAGGAGGCCTGGGACCGACTCCTGGTGAAACTAATGAAAATCATTACGAGTAAAGATAGAACCAGCATCTGCCCGAAGTAAGGTAAAGCCCTTGTTTACCATAATTTTGCCCAGCTTATAGTTTTTTTTTGGCGGAGGTGGGAGGGGGAAGGCTTTGTTTTTAATGCTGCTTGGTAGTGTTTCGGAACCAGGTCCATTTTACCCGACGTACAGCAACCAAAACGCGGAGACGCTGAGGTTCGCAGCAAAGACAGGGTTTATCTACATGGCAGCCATGCAAGTAGATGGCAGAACAAACTTCAGATCCTCCTTCGTGAAGGCACGGGGCAGGGTTTATCTGGGATGAGGAATAAAGAAGCCCGAAGCACGGTGGGCTGGGGCGCAGGGAGCGTAGCGAGACTGGAATAGGTGATGGGGAAAAGGTGTGTCAACATCTTTCCTGCTCGCATAACTAGCCTACGGGCCTCTGCACGTTCCAAAGGGCACAGGTAGACACCCGCACATACCCAGTTGGAGGGTCAGGGATCCCACCTAGTTTCAACCAGTTCAGCTGAGCGAGATGCCGCTGACTCCAGGTTCCTGGAAAACATCTCAGGCAAACAGGTTACTTATCGTCTGGGCCACGTGCAGCTTGGATGACATGGGAGTCTTAAAACAACCTTGATTAGGGAATGCAGGGGAAATGGATTTGACTAATTACCAACAGTTTCAGTGGGAACAAGATATATTTGTGTGGCTAAGTTCAAATGTCTCCTCCATATTAAGACACCATCATCCATAAGGCCAATCACCTGCTAAATCTTAGGCTTTAACACACATGAGTTCAAATAAGCTTGGTTAGGGTGGTAGATCAGCCTTTGCCAATTAGTTTCTAAAAGGCGGTAGTAAGGGAACTCTTCCCTCTTTCTGAATATCTGTAGATTAGAAGTTTTCATGATTTCCCCTGAACTAAAATTTTTAACTCTTTGATTTTTCCTACCTCTTTTTCATTGTCTTGAAGTCCCTGTCATCCAAGGCTTATCCATTTCACTGGAGATGAAAAATAGCTAACCACCATACAGTAGCTTTGAAGTCACATCACATTACAGCTATGCTAATATCTGGGTGTCCCATTTCTTATCCCAGCATTATAGTTATGACTCAGAAGACAAGAAATTTAAACACTGCAATATTTTCAAGTCAGAACATACAATCCCATTGTGGCTGGTTCCTGGGCCCCTGATTTCCTCTGACTCTTTACATTCTTTGTGAATCAGAGCTTTAAAATCCTTTAAAGAGAAGATTATCCAAATTAACTCAAAAGCTCTCCCCATTAGGGTGCTCTAATGTTGCCACCACAGAAAAAAAAGTTTCTTTACCACAGAAAAAAAAGTTTATTTGTGTTTCATGATTTTTATTCTTATCTGGGCCTTTCACAAAGTTCAGTACCCAGATCTAGGCAGGCCTCTTCAAGGAACAGAACAAATTCAGGCCTGAGGTTCACCCTGTTTCTCTCAGTGTGGGATACCTTGTAAAGTCACTTGGTTTTTAGGGCATCCATTTCCCCTTTATCTCCTTCTCACCACTTCTCTGTTCACTTATGTAGAATCAGAAACACTGCTTCAGTCAAAAGTCAATCAAGAAACATCTGGACCAGGCACTGTGAGGAACCAAGCACAATGAACTCAACACAGTCCCTCCCACCTGGGTCTGCGTCCCAAACGAGCAGATGTGCATGACACAAGCAGGCTGTTCATTGTAATCAGGCAAAGAGCTCCAGGAAGAGAATGGCCTGATGCAGACCCAAAGAGAGTCCAAATAGTTATCAGCAATATTTATGCCCAGATGTGTAGCCCCTAAACTACTGATACAACTCTCAAGACCAAATTCTTAGAATAAAATATTTGATAGGTTTCCAGGAGGACCTCTGCAGGG